ACACAAACACACACACAAAGGTGTGATTCCAGATCAGTTCCAGTTCAAAGAAAATGGCTTCATTGTCCTGTCAGGTGTGTAAATGCTCATTTGGACGTCATTCTGCAACCATATTCAATGTGGAGATAAATGTGGGCAATGATTCCTGAATTAGAGACTGTAAGAAGGCTAACATGATAAAATGGATGCATCACAACCCGCCCCGCCCCACCCCCCCACCACCATCTTCGTCACCCATAAAGGCTGAGTAATGCCTGGCAGACAGTGGTGGGGGTGGGGGCCCAGAGGGCAGCTTTCTCCCTGGCCCGCGGCACCGGCTCTGGAACTTTCCATGACTCATACGGCGAAAAACGCAGCTAATTTTTCTTACTTTTCCTCAGGTATTTGCAACAATCATACGAGTGTGTGTGTGTGTCTGTGTGTGAGAGAGAGAGAGAGAGAGAGAGAGAGAGAGAAAGGGTGTGTTTGTGTGTGTGTGTCTGTGTGTGTGTGTCTGTGTGTGAGAGAGAGAGAGAGAGAGAGAGAGAGAGAAAGGGTGTGTTTGTGTGTGTGTCTGCGAATGTGTGGGTTTGTCTGTGAGTGTGTGGGTTTGTCTGTGAGTGTGTGGGTTTGTCTGTGAGTGTGAATGTGTTGTTTTGTGCTCCCAGTTAAAACCCCCACCTCCCCGCTCTGCAGTCAGTGGTCTGTGAATCAGATTACAGGCACAGACACGTCCTGCCTGTCCACCGCTACTCCTGTCGGCATGTTATTGCCACGGCTCCCGGAGTCATGCGGTGTGCTACAGTATCACCAAGCGGCAGTGTGTCCTGTGATCACACCTGCTGGGTGCGGTGAGATGCAGTCAGATTGCAAAGTGCGGTTAGCGCACTGGGGATAAAGCACTGAGACCCAGAACAGCTACACACACTGAATAAGCACGCAATATTAATCCCATTAACCAACCATTCACTGCTTACAGCACTTCTGTTAGATTTTATCTAGTTGTTCACTCCCTAAACCAGGTCTCACCACAGCACCGAGGCTTTTGCGTCAAAGGAGCTCAAAAGGCAGGTCCTTAATCATTACGCCCTCTGCTGGCCCTCAATACAGCATCTATCAGTCCATAAAGATTACACAGAATATACTTCTGATCAATGACAGGCTGGGCAAAGTCGACAAAATGGAAGACACAGACGATGACCCGGCAGAGACGGGGAACATGAAGAGAGCACTGTGTCCCCCCCCC